CCTTAATTATAAAACAAGCACAAGCGAGTCGAGTCAACTGTAGCAACCCAAAATTCACTAAAGACGAACCCAGATGCAAGAGGTGGCTTACTCATCTGGACCTAAGTGTAAAGACAAAAACTTTCAGGAAGAGCTGACAATCTTAAATATATAGGTATATTTTCGCCTGCGGCTCGAATATAATCTATATATCTCGATAAAACACACACTCTCGTTCTAATGTCTAAAAACAACACATAATAGTCTGACGGGAAAGAACAACGGACCGAAATGCATTGTTAGTAGCTCTATCACCGTTCAAATACCAGCTCCCAACAACTTAAWAGAAAAGCGGCAATCAAATATAGAATCAGTTTCGTTTGGTTACGCAGGTAACATTGAGTTTGAAAGCAGCAATGCATTGCGATCTTGTAATGTACATTGAAAATCCTCCGGTTTTCTCTCTTCGATGTAAGGCGTCTCATTGGCTAATGAGCAGGATTTTGGCGTTGGCCTCCTTTTATACCGGACTTCCTGTTTAGTTTTGGAACAAAGCGACTTAATAATAATTCGATATCAAATCACATTTATTCTTAGAAACCTTCCTTGAAGGTCCCTTTTATGATTGAACTCACATCATGACGTCATATTATCAAAACTGGTCGCACAATACTGCCCGAGGGAGAGGGAAAGGTCCCTAATCGGATCCGCCTCGGACATAAGCTTTGCCGAAAAGTCTCACTCAAGATTATATTGTTTTGTGCACGACCACAGCCCTGCGTGGCGGCCAATAAGACTGATTAACCAAGGTGCAGTGGCTTTCAAAAGCTTTCAGATGTAATTAGTTATCATTAAATTGCGTCAGCTATGGTAAGTATAGTGACCAATACCTATAAACCATTCGTGAAACTTTGATTTATCAGGTGAAGATAGGAAGTGTAAATCGGGATAACAAACAGATCAGCTGATTATTAAATTAAAATTTAGAGTTTTAAGAATTGCGGTGGCTTTGAGTTGTGCTTATCGATATGTTTAMTAACGGTCAAGCTGAGAGACASGGCTGTTAAAGATCTATTGTAAAGCAATAAAACAGAGTTTCTTACTCGGTAACATTGGTGACTACTAAACGTACCTCCTACAAYACTAAACTRTAGAAACCGAACATTTAGACATCKTTGTCCATRYCGCTTAAAAAACTGACGGGACTCATKGATAGACCAATTTAGCCAATCACCAACTCTRCCACATAAAGTGCTATAAAGTTCGATAATCTAAATATGCCAAACGTCTGCAGTCCAGCAGTGTGTAATAGAATGAAATATGATAATAGTATGCTATTGTTTTCTCCCATTCATATGAAGATCTCCTCCCTTTCAGTCCCTCTGCGGGGGGTGGTCTACACCTGCTTGTTCCATGTCAGCTTTAGATTTCGTAATTTAAAGTACTCTTCGTAGTTTTTTTTAAACAAACTCTTTCTATCTATGTTAAGGTAAAAACAAACAGGGGTATCGTTGTTTCACGGCAATAACTTTCCCTGCTGGAGCTGTTAGTGTCAAGTTACTCGCTACATTCCTGTAGTGGTTTTGATGACGTCGCTGATGATCGGTCTCGAATTAATAACGCCAGCAATTACCCAGAAATGATAATATAATGTAAGCATTTCTATTTATCTTGGAGCGCTAATCGTGTTTATCAGAGCTGTGTGAATTGTTACAGAAACTGCGTATGYTRAAGAAGACGGTGAGGAAATTAGTAGCGACTGATCTCGATATCGCACGAAATCCCATTCCAATCCACTCTTGACTGATTGCAACAGGCATCTTGTGGCCGACGCTGAATTAAGATAGGTAGAGCTAATTGTAGCTGTGAGTATTTCGAAATAACTTAGAAACTTCTAAAATACTCCAAGGCGACTTGGGACCTATCCTGCCAGTGGTTGTGTAATAGGATCTATGAAACTATTGAAAACAACGGGGAAACTCGACTCCTTTCAATCAGCGCGTTGGTATTCTATAGTTTSTTAAGTGATGATTAAGCGGTTAGTGACTTAACAAAGGCTATTGGAAGACTTTCAGTTATACCTCAAAATCGGAAGTGCAAAATTGAATGCTGCAGAGATAGGACGATTTAAACCAYATGTGTTTAGTAATGGCGTGATTGTGGAGGTGGACCATCAATATACTGAGCGAGTGTTAATCTACAGTGTCTTCAGTCAACGTGATATGCGTCATGCTAAATGAAGGAATTATCCGAGTTCTGGTGTTGTCGTCTTTGTATCTCGTTTACATGCTACTAGGAGCTTTGATATTCATGGAAATCGAGCGAGAAAATGAGAAATCTCTTTTCATTCATTTTAACAAATTGTTTCAAGAGTTCAATTCAACGAGAAATGTSTCGGACGCTCTCATGAAAGATTTATCAAGGCTATATCGAGAAGCTTTCTCGGTGGGTATTTCAGACCCGTTTAACTCAAACTWCAGAAGCAAATGGGATTTTGCAGGCTCTTTTTACTTTGTGGGAACAGTCTTAACTACAATAGGTAAGTCTGATGCAATATCTTTACTGAAGATCACACAGACCAGTGTAAGGATTTATAACTGACCTTCTCTTCCAGTTTTAATCATTTCGCTCACCCCACAGGTACCTCAATTTGTAGTTTTTCAATTTCAATGACAATGTTTTCTATTGGTGGTGTTTGTTTTAAAATAAAGCAGAACTTCAAGWCCTTTAAGTCCCGGGTTTAAGTGGATATGGGCCTTTTCTACGGATTGCTTGGAAAGTCGGATATCGTGAACAAGAATTCTAATTCATTAAGAAGTAATTTAATGYAATTCTTGAATCCGTGAAAAGTTTCTTTAAATCTCGATATCTTTATTTCAATCTTGAGCGCATCTATTTTTTGACTGATGTATATCCCGAAGAAATATTTAAAGTTTTGACCTTTCGAAAACCGGAAACTCACACCGTTTTGACTCAACAGCAGGAATTAACATGAAATTCCTATACCGCGCACGTACTTGCTGTAATCAAAGAGATGATAATTCGACTGAACCCGGGTTAATTACCTTCGAATGCGTGGATTTTCTCCTTATAATCACAATTTTGTATATTATAGGGTCAATGCTGTTTACGTGAGTGATTCAATCCCCCTCTTATCGTTCCAAAGAAAGTATTTTCTAAGTAACCATTTGTTGGAAACCAATCCTCCGTGGGAACCGTCCATTTTTTTTTTCAAAATATCGTTGTGTACTGACTYTCTTAGATTTTACCAATGTGTGAGTTCTCTAGCTCTTTATATAGGAAAGGGATTTGCATGGATATAGCTATGATTGAATTAAAGATAGATATGTGGTGAAATGGAAGAGATCCAAGATTATTCTAGAAAGTACATCAGCAGATCTGCAAAGAGATTCTSAGTTGTTTGACATTTGACTTTGTTTTTTGATTGGTGTCCAAAAAAGGAGATATAGTGATTTAATGTGTGCATGTGGCCAATGCTCATCACACGCTCGATTGTACGTCAGTAGCTCATTTTAAAAGATAAAGTGTGCGCAAAGAATACTCTAGGATCTCAATAGGATTCCAAAACACACTTTCGATTCGTCCTTGTGTGTGTACATGTGGGCAAGAAAAATACAAAGTAACTTGAATTCAAGTAGAATCAGTGAATTGARTGGATACCATTGAAGTGATGTGAATAGATAAATCAACATGTTGCCAACAGTATCGTCAGGAATTCAAGCTGACAAAAACATAGAAATATGCAGTCGATTCGTGAATCTTGTTGAAACTCCTCTTGACCCCATAGCTGTGAAAAATCGCGTCGTTGTTTTAATCATGGAGTTTTCCTCAAAAAGGAGTTTCATATCAGTTTGAATTTATAAATGATTGCCGTAAGCAGTTGTTTCAAACGTAAAACACTCTTTTTGAACAAGCGTTGCATGCGTCGTTTTGGACGCGTGATTAAAACCCCGTAGCGCGGCAAGAATCCATGGACATTGTTGTGTCTAGTTGTCATCCTTCGGTTAGCCAGGCTTTGTTTCAGGCTTCCTGTGTTCGCACACATAGATGTATATATATATATTTACGCTGGCAACAATAAGAATTTATAAATACTATACAGGATTGGACTAAACCATCTAATAATCAAGAGGGAAAACTGAAAAAAAGAAATGAAAAAGAAGAATTGTGCTAGAAAAAAGAATCCTAACTTTAGTGGGATTCGAACCCTTGACCATAAAATCGAAAAAAGGTTGGGACGATTCCCCCGAGACATTCTGTGAAGCTGAGGCGKCGAATCGATTTACATTCCGGTTAGAGATTTCGGCTCTTCCATGCTATCCCGATAATTGGTCCTAACTTCGCGCTAACTAAAAAGCCAGTGAGGGAGAAGCTATCCGGCCCCTAGACACTGATGGATAACCCCTTGCACTAACTAGGCAACTATCGAAAGTATAATGTCAAATTGGGATAGTCTATTCGGTGAAAATGTCAAGTGGTCTATTATTATGTAAATGAGCGTGGTCCTGTGGCGCAACTCGCTAAGGCGCTGAGAWTCAATGCAGTGTTTCTAGCCAATAGTGCTGAGATCGAATCCCAAATATTGTTATTTTTACCTTTTTGTACCTTTTTTTCTTTTCTATTTTCGTTCCTTTTTTACTTGTGTATTATTTTATAATCTTATTTTTTTCAGTGAGATTGATATATACAATTTGTTTAATGTTTGTTTTTGTTTTCCAGGTTTTGGTCTGACAGCGCCCATAACTTTACCTGGACAAGTGTGCTTTCTGTTTTATGCTTTACTTGGCATACCTCTCAATATCCTTCTATTCAATACTTTACTTGATCAAACAGTAAATATATTCACAAGCATTCTTACACGGATTAATCAGTTCTGGAAAAAAAGACGTACATTAGGGAATCAAAACAATCAAGGAGAACCTTGGGAGGCGACAACGGTTAYGATTGCWGTAACTTGCTTTGTGGTGGTTATAGTTGTTATACTWYTAGCGGCACCAATGTTTGTATTCCTGGAGGATTGGTCATATTTTGAGTCTATATACTTTTTGGTTGTTTCATTTACGACCGTAGGGTTTGGAGACTTTGTWCCTGGCGGACTGCATACAAGCAGTGGGGACAATCTGACACCRCACTATCGAGTGGGGAATTGGTTTGTWATTATCTTAGGAACTATATTTATGTACACGGCCATGGCCCTTATGGCTAGCATGTACAAACAGTGCCTGGAAAACCTTTTAGAAAAATCTCGGAAGTGTTTTAAAAAGAAGAAATCTAATCGGATTACAGCGTCACCCTCGGCGCCATCGACTCCTGCGCAASAGCGTTCTCAGTCCATTACCAGTCCGCTTCGAGATGAACGCAAGCGGCAGATGGCGGCGCGCGCACTTCAAAACTGGCGTGCTGCTAAGAAACCAAATATAGGACTTGTCAATCAAGTAGAGGAGTCAATTTTGAAAACACGGCGGGTTACAAACACTGATGATCGACCAGGCCTTGACGCTTTCCAATTTCTTCCTCTCGCYGACTTGTCTCGCAGACCCAGTGTACAAACCATCAAGGCGCAGACGAAYTTCGACGATCTTACYACCCTTGAAGCTAAACTAACCAAGGAGTTTAACCATCTTCTCAAAGAAATYGAACAACAGCGGGAAAWTTTGCTTAAAAARCAAACCATAAATGAAGAACGAGGAATTCGAAATGGGGCAGTGATCGCAGGTTCAAGTTCTGAGAGCACTGCAAGTCCTCCTCCTCCTTTGTGTAGTGACGACGCAGGAAGTAGGTCAACAACAGTACTCTCACTGAATATGACCGAACCGCAGCAACAATTAATATAGGAATACTGTCTCGTTTCAAATAATATTAAAACCATAATAAATAAAGTTTAGTATTAGAATTTGTTTTTTGAYATATGAACGATTTTATTGCTCATTTTGATTGACATTGTGACRTTTGCAGTGGTTTCACATAACCTTATGAACGATATGCGTAACACACACAATGTTCATGTATAACAGCTTTATCAACCTGCATACTATAAGTTTTCTAACCCGCAACGATTCTAAMCGATTTAACTTTTAACTTTTTAATTGAATGTAACACAACTTGAACATTACGCGTGAAACAGTTTCTTGAATAATCAACCTTAACAGAATATCAACAACTTGCAATTGGGTACTTGTTTTCGTTTTTCACTGACACGTTTACGCCCTTTGTCGTTAACCAAGCCATGCAAAAYTTATTGGACACAGCCTCGCTCGCAGCGGTTATCAGTGTCACGTTCGTTACGCTTTGAAAACGGCTGCGGAGGAGACTACGGAAAGCGACTTTTAAGCAAGTTTAGTCATACACCGTATTTTACATGGGTTGAATATAGTTTACGCCATTGATTTTCTGCTCTTAACTTGATTACGCACTGACATCAACACATGTGCGATTTGACGTTTGAAACGTTTCTTCAAATAGGGCAAAAAAAAAGTAAATGTTCACTTTTCTAAGGAAGATAGTGATCYAGTGCATTCCTATGTTGGCCAAGTGCAGTAATGCTTGTGAAGAACCTTCCACAGGGTACGCACGCGTAATGTAGTAGTTCTTCGCAATGCTGCTCCAAACTGACTCTGCGTTTGAAGCTCCTGTAGCAAACACCACATGTATGGAGYACATCGGGAAGGTAYTTCGGTCTCAGACGACCACTGCGCACAGAGTAAAACTTCTCAAAAAACTCCCTGCGTCTTTTCCGCCAGAAACCATAGCTYACAATTCCGTAGACACGTCCGCGTTGGCCGTGCGTTTTGTATGAGCGGTAATTCTGMAGCTGTTGAGCCCTTGCGTAAAACCTCTCGCTGGGAACCAGCTTGGCTAAAGCAGACGTCTTGTAGGGGTGATGGCGATGGCAGGACTTGCTTGGAGGTCTTGAATAACGAGACTGCTTGAACTCGGAGTATTTGCATGTGCGCGTTTCATGATAACTTCTGTACCCAGCGCTGTCCTCGCTGACGATGTTACTCAGCTCAATCTTCAATTGTGTCTCGAGGTACTCGTACTTACCATGGCCTCGGACGGTTTTCTCTGGACTGCTACACCTKGAGGAAGTGATGCTGACCTCTCTGACCTCCCTGCGTAATGTTTGAGGACCACGAGTTTTGACATGAACAGAGCCGTAGAGCATCTTAGGGTTACATTTGATGTCTTCGAGACGATGAGTCTTWATTAGCTTGCACTGACCATCTTTCTCTAACTGTTGAAAAACCCACAATCTTCTGTTGTTTAACGTGTACCACTCCCAATGCTCCTCGCTCCAAACTACTTGCATTCTAGGAATATCTTCCATTGTTATTTCTTTATTCTGGAGCTGAAGGAGCGTTTCTGTCAGCTGGATATTGTTGTCGAAACGGTCTGGGATGGCATTAGTTGTAAATCGAATATCTGATGGTTTGAGCAGCACAACATATGAAAAATCCATTTTGAGCGGGGCTAGAAACCTCAACTACTGTGCACTGGCTTCAAAACGTGTAAAATCGTCTGCTTATGTACCACAAAAAGCGTWTTTAGCTCAAATTCACGACGTAAATACAATTGTTGAAGCACWTCGCACGTGGGAATGAGTAGACAAGACGTCCATGACGTCATTTTTATTTACGTTTGAGACGCGCGAGCTGCTGGATACTCATGGAGAGATGAGGTCTAAAAAATRCATAAACAACAACATTTTTCTTCGATATCTCTTCCAGTGAGGAAAGCAAACGTTTTGGAACTGTATGCCGTAATCCTAATGTTTATCAAGGAAAATTTTAAATCGAGTTTCGCGCCAAATTGAGAGATCACGAATCTCATTGAATTTTTTAATTTTCCCCGTAATTAATAAACAAATTTAGTAGTGAAATAAATAATACATGGTAATCTACTTAATATTACGCAAAAC